GGTGAGAACACAGAAACCACGACATCATGGGGATTAACGAACTTTGCGACTCGAATGTAAGTCCACCGTTCTCAGACCGGAGGCTGCTTTCCCCGTAAAAATCGCGTTTACCGTTATTTGCATTTTCACCAGTTTCCTTTTTTGCACCCTTATGTTTCGCCGCGTATCGCCACGTGTAAAATATGAAACGAGAGACAAAATTGCATAGTCAAAGGAGAGAATTCCACGGGTATAGAACCGTGGCGCAAATTCTTTCGTCGATAATTCCCGTGGGAAAACGGGCTTAAAGCAGGTTTCTGGATGAAATTCACGTCTAGTGGGGTATCCAAAGCGGTGTGCTACAATTTTCCAAGGCGAAGAACTGTCGACAGCCATCGTTCCGGTTGTATCGGCGCGGTGGGGCTTCGATAACTTTCTCGAAACGTCCCTTTAAATAAATAACCGTTCCGTTGCGGAGAGAGAAAATCCATTTTGGCGATTACGCCCAAGTAAACAGAGAAGCACTGTGTACGCAGTGCATAACAGTTGTTGTCTCGAGCTTCCGATATCGACGACAGACTCAACACGGTGAAACGTTCGGGAATTTGTGTTGTATTTAAGGCGCTCTCCCGTCCTTTCTCGCCGGAATTTTCTGCCAAGAAAGTTCTTCGCTGCGGTACGCGATGGAATAAGCTTGAAAGCTCAAATACTGAAATAACCAAGATCCAAATTGGAAGATCACAATTTTCAGAAATCTTGGTAAAAATTGCAAATGTTAAGATTACAATTATGAGAAACCTTGGTAAAAATTGCAAATTCTAATCTTACAATTTTGAGAAACTTTGAAGAAAGTTTAAAATTCTAATCTTACAATTTTGAAAATTTTGGTAAAAATGGCAAATTTTAAAATTACAATTTTAAAAATATTGGAAAAAATTTCAAATTCTAAGATTACAATTGTGACAAACCTTAGTAAAAATTCCAAGTTCCAAGATTACAATTCAGAGAAATCTAGGTGAAGATTGTTCTCTCGGCAAATGTTTGTGTACGAGAAATTCTTGTTAACATCACACGTGACAAGTAACACGTGATAGTTTTGTAGAAATCTCCGGGGAAACATCGATCTATCGGGTATCAGTTACACGAAAACGTGCTTTTCGAAGGCTCGTAGATAGGACAGAACGTGCGACGTTCCATCCAAGCTGTCGCGTTTTCGAAAACACGACGATCTCGTTTGACGTTTCGGGGATTTCTCGACTCTTGCGATGGCTTAAACTTTATTCCCCGCGAGCGTCCAGACTTTAGACGCGATTATACCCTTAAGAGCCGGGGGATTTCCGGCGCGTCTATACGTAAAGCGTGCGTAATCGCGTGTCTAACTCACCTGGACGGCGCGTGTTCATGCAAACTTATGCGCAACGAGTTATCGCGTATACGTGTACAGCGATAAGCAACGTTCGTTCGTTCGAGCGATTAATCGTCACAGCCTACGGTGTTTCGAAACGCCTACCTGACCACGCGATACCTCAAATTTTTATCGTTTTCTATTACTCAATTTTTGGTGTCCTTGTGTTTCTTGATGGATTTACGTAATAAATTAAAAGGTGGTATTTCAATAATAAATTCTTGTTTATTTTTATACACGAGGAAGGCACGTCTCTACGCAATCGTAAGAGATCGACAAGACTCTAAAGAAAAGAAGAAAAAACATATCAGCGTCCACCCATACTAAACTATGATACTATTCTAGGTTACAATGTCATTCTTCTATATATGTTTATACTAACCTGTCTCAGTATGTTGATCGTTTTTGCTACACAGACGCATTCATTTCTCCTAATAATCCAACATTCCTGAATCCTCGAAATTCAAACCATTGAAAATATGAATTCCGCCAATGCCAATAAAGTAAGCACCATTTGACTTCAGCCAATAGAATTCGAGATATTCGAATTTTAAGTTTAACCAATGAAACTCAAAATTTAGAAAATTTGAATTCCCCCAATGTCATTAAAGTGAACAGCATTTGAATTCAGCCAATAGAATTCGAGACATTCGAATTTTAAGTTTAACCAATGAAACTCAAAATTTAGAAAATTTGAACTCAGCCAATGACATTAAAGTGAACAGCATTTGAATTCAGCCAATAGAATTCGAGACATTCGAATTTTAAGTTTAACCAATGAAATTCAAAATTTAGAAAATTTGAATTCCCCCAATGTCATTAAAGTGAACAGCATTTGAATTCAGCCAATAGAATTCGAGACATTCGAATTTTAAGTTTAACCAATGAAATTCAAAATTTAGAAAATTTGAATTCCCCCAATGTCATTAAAGTGAACAGCATTTGAATTCAGCCAATAGAATTCGAGACATTCGAATTTTAAGTTTAACCAATGAAATTCAAAATTTAGAAAATTTGAATTCCCCCAATGTCATTAAAGTGAACAGCATTTGAATTCAGCCAATAGAATTCGAGACATTCGAATTTTAAGTTTAACCAATGAAATTCAAAATTTAGAAAATTTGAATTCCCCCAATGTCATTAAAGTGAACAGCATTTGAATTCAGCCAATAGAATTCGAGACATTCGAATTTTAAGTTTAACCAATGAAATTCAAAATTTAGAAAATTTGAATTCCCCCAATGTCATTAAAGTGAACAGCATTTGAATTCAGCCAATAGAATTCGAGACATTCGAATTTTAAGTTTAACCAATGAAATTCAAAATTTAGAAAATTTGAATTCCCCCAATGTCATTAAAGTGAACAGCATTTGAATTCAGCCAATAGAATTCGAGACATTCGAATTTTAAGTTTAACCAATGAAATTCAAAATTTAGAAAATTTGAATTCCCCCAATGTCATTAAAGTGAACAGCATTTGAATTCAGCCAATAGAATTCGAGACATTCGAATTTTAAGTTTAACCAATGAAATTCAAAATTTAGAAAATTTGAATTCCCCCAATGTCATTAAAGTGAACAGCATTTGAATTCAGCCAATAGAATTCGAGACATTCGAATTTTAAGTTTAACCAATGAAATTCAAAATTTAGAAAATTTGAATTCCCCCAATGTCATTAAAGTGAACAGCATTTGAATTCAGCCAATAGAATTCGAGACATTCGAATTTTAAGTTTAACCAATGAAATTCAAAATTTAGAAAATTTGAATTCCCCCAATGTCATTAAAGTGAACAGCATTTGAATTCAGCCAATAGAATTCGAGACATTCGAATTTTAAGTTTAACCAATGAAATTCAAAATTTAGAAAATTTGAATTCCCCCAATGTCATTAAAGTGAACAGCATTTGAATTCAGCCAATAGAATTCGAGACATTCGAATTTTAAGTTTAACCAATGAAATTCAAAATTTAGAAAATTTGAATTCCCCCAATGTCATTAAAGTGAACAGCATTTGAATTCAGCCAATAGAATTCGAGACATTCGAATTTTAAGTTTAACCAATGAAATTCAAAATTTAGAAAATTTGAATTCCCCCAATGTCATTAAAGTGAACAGCATTTGAATTCAGCCAATAGAATTCGAGACATTCGAATTTTAAGTTTAACCAATGAAATTCAAAATTTAGAAAATTTGAATTCCCCCAATGTCATTAAAGTGAACAGCATTTGAATTCAGCCAATAGAATTCGAGACATTCGAATTTTAAGTTTAACCAATGAAATTCAAAATTTAGAAAATTTGAATTCCCCCAATGTCATTAAAGTGAACAGCATTTGAATTCAGCCAATAGAATTCGAGACATTCGAATTTTAAGTTTAACCAATGAAATTCAAAATTTAGAAAATTTGAATTCCCCCAATGTCATTAAAGTGAACAGCATTTGAATTCAGCCAATAGAATTCGAGACATTCGAATTTTAAGTTTAACCAATGAAATTCAAAATTTAGAAAATTTGAATTCCCCCAATGTCATTAAAGTGAACAGCATTTGAATTCAGCCAATAGAATTCGAGACATTCGAATTTTAAGTTTAACCAATGAAATTCAAAATTTAGAAAATTTGAATTCCCCCAATGTCATTAAAGTGAACAGCATTTGAATTCAGCCAATAGAATTCGAGACATTCGAATTTTAAGTTTAACCAATGAAATTCAAAATTTAGAAAATTTGAATTCCCCCAATGTCATTAAAGTGAACAGCATTTGAATTCAGCCAATAGAATTCGAGACATTCGAATTTTAAGTTTAACCAATGAAATTCAAAATTTAGAAAATTTGAATTCCCCCAATGTCATTAAAGTGAACAGCATTTGAATTCAGCCAATAGAATTCGAGACATTCGAATTTTAAGTTTAACCAATGAAATTCAAAATTTAGAAAATTTGAATTCCCCCAATGTCATTAAAGTGAACAGCATTTGAATTCAGCCAATAGAATTC